CCAATTAATCATATTTTTTTCCTCAATTTTTTAATCTAAAAAGTCAAAAAGTACATTTATTTAAGACATCTCAAACAACTCCTAAAATATAAGATAAAATGTTACCTGTAAATTATAAGCATATTATTTTTTTCTTTTATAATTATCAAATCTATTATAAAATAAATAAAAAAAGCCAATTAATTTTTCAAATATAATTTTTTAGCCAGATTAAGATAGTTAAAAAGTTCGGAAGTCAATTAAAATAAACAACTTTTCAAATGAGGTACAAGAATATTTTAAGTAATAGGTTATTTTAATAATTTTTTAATTTTTTATAAAAAAATATGTAAAAAAATAGAGAGAATAATGTAATAATTTATAATAATTTTTTAATTAAAAGTAAAAATTCCCAAACCAAGCCTTAAACTATGGTTATATTGGACTATGGGTTAAGAATATCTCAGCATTTGTGTTGTTGGTTTATGTTAGGCCATTCCTAACATTTAACTAAATTCATCACCAAATTTAAATTTTGTGAAAAAACATATTTTTTTTGGTCTTCAATGGTTTTATCAAACTCGTATCAAATTAAGAACATCTCAAATCTTTTGCTAAACTGAGAATGTCTTGTACTTTTCAGTAATTTACTATACATAGCCGTTGAGTGTAAACCCACCAGACGATCGACCAGACATCTAACCGGATGTCCTCCCGAATGACCACCTTAAGACATAATTTGTGAAAAATTCACATTGACCAGTTGACCGCCCAGATAAAAGAAAGCCTTGTTTGATCAATGATGTGGAGTTTTCCAAAACAAAGTTTTCAATAATCCTGGCAATGGACTTTATTTAGAAACAGACCTAATTGAATATGAGAAAACTATGATGAGGGTTCTTGAAGATTCCTTGATTCTTGACTTTAAGTCCCTTATATTGAAGGATTGTGATCAAAGAAATTTTAGAACTACACTTGTGAAGGTTGAAGAAATGGTTTTTTGGGCCAAGAATTGCCTTTGAATGCATTGTCAATATTAGTGAAAGCGCTTTGTGCATCTAGTTACAATATAGGGACAATTGTCAGTCTCTTAGAGAAGATGCCAAAGTTGACTAATTAGCTTGATTATGAAACTCTCAATTTGCTTGTCCAAGCACTTTGCATTTCAAAAGCTTTCTCGTGTATGGGTATTCTCGGTGCAAAGAGGTGTCACGTTTTCTACATTATCTTACTACTATGACGTCTATAGAACATAAGCCAAGTAATCGTAGTATGAGAATCATAATAAACTGCCTCTATGGTGATAGGGAGCTTGGAAAAGCAATGGAGTTGAGACAAGAAATGAAATCAAGAGGTTGGATTCATGGTTCAATCATTCAAAATGTCATTGTTAAAGGCCTTCTTGCTTAAGGTAAACTTCAGGAAGCAATGAGATTTTTGGAGGGGATGGTACAAAAAGGTCTAAGCTGGAACAGTTGTCGGTTGACTGGCGGAACATCCGGCTAGTCGTTTTCCCAGTCAACCTGTGTTTTAATAACTACACTGTTGGAGTGACTGATATCAGATAGAGGGATTCGTACTTTTTTTACTCATATTTGATTAAATATTTGGTGAACTATTGGAGATACCCTTATATGAGATTTTTGGTGATGGGATATTAAATGTGCAATATTATTTAAGATTGTGTTTAGATTATAAATTTGAGTACGAATTTTTTTTTTAAAAAAAAAGGCAACATAAATAGAGAAATTGTTTTTAAATTATAAATTTTTTTTTTTAAAAAAAAATGTGAACGGAATATAAGTTAACCCTTCAACAAAATTTCAATTTTGCCTTTATTTGTAACCTTCCAAACCCATTAACCCTACCCTCATCACCATTAAGTCCGGCCACCCTCCATTGCCCATCCACAACTCCAGTTATCATCTTTAAGCCTCTCCCCATCTTTGCGACCTCCAATCCTTGCAAATCCCACACTCGCGACCCCCTTAATACCCGAACTTTGCGATTCTCCTTCTCGTTCTCTCTCATTCTCTTTCTCTTTGTGTTCACAACTAGTGGTAGCAAGTGAAAGGAGCTAAGTAGAGGCGATAGAGGGAGGAGAGAGGTTGGAGGTGATGCAAGAGAGTGGAGAGGAGCGCGAAGGACTAGTCCAAGATATTGGTGGCGAATGGTTATTAAAATTTGATAGGGTGAAAATTAATTTTGATATTCACCAAAATATCTAAAGAAATTTTACAAAATTTAGAATATGTTAGTACTAGTTCACAATGATTATGGCAAAGCTACAAATTTGAAGTGTTGAAAATCTAACCAAGAGTTGGGATTATTGGGACCAATAAGTTATGGTTGGAGTCTACTCTCAATCCCGATCTCCAATCCCCATCTTTATATTAATGGGAATCTGAGCTGCTATGCTATTCTATCTCACCTATAGTTCTTAGGCTCCGTTTGGCAAGAGCTAAACGGGGTTTTTTTTAGTTATTTTAGCCACAAAAGACAAAATAGGCTATTTTAGCCACAAAAAACAAAACATCACATCCAACCCACAATCATTACATTCTTCTCTCACAAAAAAAATCAAAAAAGCCAAAAAGCCCTTCCCAAACCAAACTTTTTAGCCCACGCTAAAATAGCCAAAAAAGCCAAAAAGCCAACCTACTTCCCAAACGGAGGCTTAGTAATATTATAAATTTAGTAATTAAAAAATAATTGATCCATTGAGTTCGTCCGAATTGTATAAACTGAATGTCCGGCATTACTCTTGTGGTTGTCATCCTTGTCAACCACAACTGTCATCCTTGTCTATCGGCATCCGTCCGGATGACTGGCCGAATAATTGGCATGCACAAATTCAAACAATTTAAATGAGTCCAAATTCGGTGGATGTAGCAATACTCCTTAAAAATTTTATTCAAAAAGTATATAGAAATATCAATATGTGATTCAAATTTATTTTATACATAAACTCTATAATATACGTTTTCAATCTCCACCACATGTTACCATTCTTGATAAAAATTTAAAACCCAAAGTCTAAATCTTAGACTTTCTGATATTTTTAATTTATAATATAATATATGAGGTTTGTATTTTATGAAGGGGAGAGACTCCTCTCTAGTTAGATATTTTAATTAGAGGATACTGTTGAGTCTTCAATTGAGATATTGATATTTAATTAATGTAATTTTTTATAAGAATGAAATACTCGACGAACTTTATATATTAAACAGTTCAAATGATCAATATGAGTTCCATAACAAACCTATAAAAATTCAATAATATTCTCCAATTCGGTTTAAATTGGAGAAAAACTATGACCTTTACGAAGACTATAGAGATGTGTTTTTAACTTTCTTTCGAAATATGTTGCACAGTACATGATGTGGCAATGCTAACCTCTATTTGCCACTTATCACATGATATAGCCTTTTACTTTGTGGTTAAACAGTAGAGAACATGTGCATCGCTTGTGTACTTCATATAAGAATTTGCCACTAAAAAAATTAACTCTTTCCTCTCAAAATCATTTCCTGCCATGCCAACTACTTTTTATAAGCTGGAGTTAGTGATGGTGGAGAGGTGGTGGTGTGGTGGTCATGGTGATGGTATATAGTGGTGTTAGCAATGTTGGCATAGTAGTATAGTAGTGGTGGTAGGTGGTGGCGATATAATGTCGTTGGTTACAATGTTGACACGATAGTGGTGGGGTGATTAAAAGTGATTCAATTATTAAGTTATTTTAATCAGTTGCTTAAAGTTCACTAAAAAAAACATTTTAAAATTCTTATTGTGAAAGATTTCCTTTTTTCAAAGATTTGATTTGTTTTGAGAAGTAAATTAAAAATTGATTTTGACTTTTTTTAAAAAAAAAATTAATCGTGTTGTCAAAATAGTTTAATGTCTCATTTTGGTGGTGTTTGGAAACTTGGATTGGGAGGCTTTTTTGGACTAAAATAGACAACAAAACAAAATGTCACATTAAAACTATAATTATTTCACTTTTTCTCTCACATCCATCAAATCAATTACAAAAAAAAAAAAAAAAAAAAACTATCATCTTAAACACAATTTTTTTAGCCACGCTATGAACATTTCTAAAGGCAAATGCTATAATATCATTGCCATTGTATTCACCCAAAAAAAAAGAAAGCATTGTCATTGTTATAATGTAGCAACGAATAACAAAAAATGGTAGAATTATAGTAATGTTGCTCCAATGGTCAAATGTTATTTTGGCTAAATCAAACACAGAAACTGGTGTATTTGGTCAAACACACTAGTTTCTTTGGTTATGAAAAAATGGCAGTCTTGTAAAAATGGCGATTTTGTAAAAATTTATCTATTTTTCTAGGAGGAAGGGAGGGAAGGAAGGAGGTTTTGGCAGCTATTGGCACATATAACAGTTGCAATATGTGACCATTGGAGCACCACTTTTATTTTCAACTGCCAAATTTAATTATAGAAATTCCAATAACAAACTATTAGAGATACTCTAAAATAGCAAAAAAAAATCAACTAAAATAACCAAGTTTCCAAACAAGCCCTTTAATATTTAACCTAAAATCTCAAAAAATCCTGGGTCACTGCTGGGCGTGGTGATTATCATGGTGGTAGTTAATAATGTAACAGAAGAGATAGTACTCATTTAAACGGATGCTCATGTTTAATCCATTTTAAATTCATATAAATTTGGACAGATTTAAACAGTTTTAGATAAGTATAATTGGACAAGTTTAAGTCTTTAAAAAAAAAGAAAAGAAAAGAAAAGAAGAAGCTGAAATAACTTTATGAACTTAATAAATGAAATTAATAGTTTAAATATAAAATTTTAAAAAAAATACTGATAGTTTAATGTTGTGTTTGATTGAGAGATTTGAGAAGGGAATCAGAAAGGGAAATAGAAAATGAAAGTGAAATGTGAATAAAATATACCTATATTTCACCTAGTTTCACACTTCTTTTCCCTTTTCCTTTCCAAATCCCTCTCCAAATCGCTCAACCAAACAAAGCGTAAGAGATAAAATTAAATTTAATCTGCATTTCTATCATTTCTAAACTCGTCCAAAACTACAGATGTATAATTGATTACTCATGTAACTACCTATTCTTGCCCATAATACAATTCTTCTATATAGTTACCCAATTCCATCTCTTACCCTCCTTTCTTCTTTCTCAGACAATCCTTGCAGCCAAGAAGTTCATACAAATTGGAGGATGAATCTTGGCCAAAGCAAGGATTGATGAAGGCAGAATCCACAACCCATCTCCACAAATCAAACCTGATGCAACTGCAGGAACCATCAAACCAGCCTTCCTTCCATTCAGCTTGTGCCAGGCAAACACAACCAAACTACCGACAGACATGTCTATCGCGAAGTAAGCCCCAACTAGGAAAGGCACCGCCATAGCCATTGGAAGTGGAACCCATTGTCCAACTTTCTTGGAGCTAACATCTCTCACCAAGTTTGCCACGAGTGCAAAGGCAAAAAATCCATAACAAAGCTGCAAACAATGCTGAGGCAGGGCAGAGAAGCCTTCAACACCCAAAATCGCCATGTTTCTATATATGAGGGCATAAGGAGCTTTGTATTCCCCATTCGGGTCCCCAACATCAAAAGCCTTGTAGAAGAGTAAGAATGTGAGAGGTGCTACCACACAGCCTATGGCGGTCCCAAGGGCTTGGCTAAGTAGCATTGATCGAGGGGATGTGAGGGTGAGATGGCTGGTTTTGAAATCGTGCATTAAATCAGAGGAGATGGAAACAATGGATTTGATCAGACCACAACCAACAAGTCCTGCAACTACGCCAGATTCTTTCCCAGACATAGCAGCAAGAACAAAGAGGGCCACTTTCCCATAATTGTAGGCCATGTTCATATCTGTTAGGCCAGCACCGTAAGCATTGCAGAAGCTAAGAGTGGGTGCAAACAAGTAGGCAGCAAGAACGTAATACCACTTGAGTTCAGGAAACATGAGCGGGATCACAATGATGGAGACGATGGAGAAAAGCGAGTACCCAATACACGCTACCCATAAGGGAATGCCCTCTCTTACAAATACTTCGTTTCGTTGAAGATCCTCCAGGGGCTGATTCATGGCATCTGAAACTGCAGTTAGAAGAAAATACGCGTGTTAGTAAAATTTCCACATTTTTTTTTCCAGACTTCTGTCTTTCGTGGGATTTTTTTAAATGTGTCAAGAATTTTACTTTTTAGGTCCGTTTAGCCTAGTCCAGAAGGATCTTTGAAAAAATCAAAAAGAAATTCACTAAAGACCACAAAAAAAAAAAGTCAACCTTTTTATTTTTTTATTTATCAGATCCATCTAGTCTAGTTGCTAATTTAACTAGAGAGACTGCAAATAAAGAGGACATATAGTTGCTAATTTACATGTTTTGGGGTTCTTCTTCAATCTACCATATATGCTTTGAGCGGTGAAGAAAAGTATCTTGAGAAAATTGTAGAGCCCGTCTCCCAAGATGAGAGCAATAGAAATAAAAACCTGAAGCACAAACAAGTAAAAAATAATAATTTTCTTTTAGATTCAGATTTGAAGCCATAGTAAACACTCACAGACATCTCAGAAGTTTCGGCTAAAATGACATTGAAAGTTAAATCTCCTTGTTCATGGACCTTGTAACCATTTAGGCTCTTCATACTGCTTTCTGGTAAAGTTTCAGGGAACCAATTTCCTTTCTGCTCACTAATTAGTGGCCACATTATCCCCCAAGAGAGCACAGCTCCAAGAAGCAATGACAAGTTCACAAGATGGGAACAAATAATATTCCTGCTCCGATGTAAGTCATGCTAAAATCAAAGTAAAATCTGCAAAAAATTCAGTTGCATGTATAAACAACTGTTGAATAATCTCGGATCGAAAATAAAACTAGAAAATGCACAAGAGCAAACATCAAGTACGCACGTTTGTTTCCAAGCTTTCAATCCAAATGTGGGGAAGTTGGAGAATCCACATTGTTCACCACCAGAAAAGAACCATTGGAAGAGACCCCACAGAAAACTAATAGAAAAGAACTTCATGAACCCATGAACCTGCTTCCTGCAAAAGGATTGTTACTATATTGAGCTGTTCCAAACTTGAATTGCATGATAACAGGCAGTTAATGAAAAAAGATGCATACTTGGCCATCTTGTCTCCTTTAGCAGTATGAAAACCGTTAATAAGAACTGCAGTAGCAGTTCCACTAGGGTAAGTTAATTTGTAGTCAATTATCATGATCTGCAAACAACAAAAAATGCAGAGTAAACAAACCATTACAAGTTTCTGAAAGCGAAACAAAAACCCTTCGAGAGATCATTATGAAATTCAAAGTTCACCCAAATCATCAATTAAAGTTGCATGAATTTTCAGAACACCAGCCCCCTGTTTCATGCAGCTTAGTAGAATTGCTTATAACTTCGTTTTATTTATTTATTTTAGTAATATGTGCCAGAGTATTTAGTGTTGCACCGTTTTTTCTTACAGATTTTTAGGCTTATTTTTGTCTTCCGTGAACTTTTATCAACTTTGAGTCAATATGTTTTAATTTTTAGGTAAGTCTAGACTATCCTAAAATAAAAATTAAAAGAAATGAAAAAAATTCAGTAACGACAAATAATAAGCCAACTTGTATAGGTTTTTTCGACAAAATTGGTCTATTTTTGTCTTCATCAGTAAACTTTTTTTCAGTTTTTTTTTTTTATTTTTTTCTTTTGAATTTTTAGACCTAAAAAGTTTTTAAAAAAAATTGATATAATTTTATAAAAACTCACGACAAACAAAAATAAACCCAGAGGAAAAAAACTTATAATTTTATAAACTAGATATGGATCGTTTTTGCTTTCTGATTTCTAATTACCAACTTTTTTTAAGAAGCTGCCCCAATCGAGCCCATCAACTTGACAAATGAATCCACCTCAAAATCAGTGAAACAAACCCTTGCATACAAAGAAAACAAAATTAAATGAACACACCTTCCTGAGAGGAACCAGAGCCAACAGGCCAACAAAGCTAACTACAAAAAGGAAACCAGTCATCCAACCAAGCCCCGGTTCCTTGTAGCTCCCTGGTGAATTCCCCTCTGTATCAATCCCAGCTTGCTCATATGTTTTCTTGTTCAATCCCAATAGATAAGACCCAAAACCACCTACAATTAACCAAAAACAAAACAATTTTTACAAACTTAGCAATACCCTATTAAAGCATTGAAGTGACCAGAGTTTTGATCTCCAACCTCCAACAGCAATGCTATAACAAGCAACTGCACAGGTCTGAATTATAGTATTTTCTTGTCGAGTGAACGGAGATGAGACAAATCCAGCATTTTGAAGCAACTTTGTCCACGTCCGTATGAACACGAAGGCAAGAAGAGCAGCCGAGACATTGAGATTAGGGACGAGCCCAGTTGTGAGATTGAGCTTCATCACTATCACACTGTAAATGATCCCAATCAGTACGCTTGCAATAATTCCTCGAACTGTGATCTGTTTTGTCCATGGAAGAACTCTCTTTACGTCCTCCGGCTCATCTGGCAACTCTTCTGAGACCTCTCTCTCAATCTGGTTCAACTCTTCTTCCACACCAACGTTCCCCATTTGAATTATCCAAGTGTAGACCCTTGTCTAATTCAATCATCAGACTCACTCTTAAGAACCCCATATGAAAAAACAGTCAACAAATACACAAAAAAATTAATTTGAAAATCAACTGAGCTAGTCCTATGAAGCATGGACACTTCAAAATAGGCGCAGTAACGGTGCCAGACATGGGGACACGCCAGGAACACGTACGGGACATGCCAAAAGGCATGTCCCTTTAATTTTATTATTTTTTTGCGAGGGACACATTAGGTGGTGTGTCCCTTAATTTTATTATTTTTTTGCTAGGAACACGCAGGGGACACACGTGTCCAAATATGGATAATCTATTAATTTGTTTAAATGTAGTGATTTATATATATATATATATATGTATATATATTGAATTAATGGTAGTTTTTACGAATTTTGATTGTTTGGTAACATAAAATTAATCTCAATCATAAATAAATATAAAAAAAATTTGTTGTGTCCCCTGCCATGTCCATGTCCATGTCCATGTCCATGTCCATGTCCCCAGTTTTTTAAAATCATCGTGTTCCATGCCTATGTCTGTATCCGTGTCCGTGCTTAACAGGCTAGGGACACTTACCTTAATTGAGAGGTCAAGGTCAATTCTTGTGAAAGTAAAGACTGATTATTTCTTTCATATTAGCTTTTTCTTTAGTTGTTATTCTTTCCTTTATGGACTCTTTTCATATATTAAGAGAGGTTAGTGTCAATTTCTAGTCAAAGTAGAGACTAATTATTTATTTCATATTAGGTTTTTCTTTAGATGTTATTTTTTTTCCTTTAAACTCTCTCATATATTAATATAGTGGCTGTGATGTTGAGTTTGCAGGTAGGGAGTTGTGGTGCATATTCTAAAAATGGCATACTGCATTACCACAACAAACTTAACATAACCACAATATTCCGTAACAAATACCTTAACATGTAACTTTTCTCACCAAAATGATTTGTCACTACAAATGGTTCCTAACATTTTCACCACATCGTTCATAACTAATCAACATAATCACAATGGTTTAGAACTTTCACTTTAGGTGCACACCATAAATTCCCCATTCATAACTTTTACCCAAAAAAATTCATAAATTTCTAATGATAGGAGTGTGCATATTAGCATTTTCGTTGCAGGTATATATAATTGGACTTTCTTACGTAATTACTTGTTCTATTTAATGTAATTTTCTAATATATTTTGTAAATATTCTCCTGCCAATTGACTAAAAATAAAAATAAAAACTTTAAAAGGAAGCAAGCTAGTAAACATGAGTGATCTCACCTGGATAGTTCTTTTCCTTAGCATAGGAAGGTCTGAGAGTATGAAAAGCTCACAAAGCCTCAAAATTCAAGTCTGAATTCTTCAAATGTATGTATCAACAAATATATCTTTGCAAAACCCAGAAATGCCGACCCCCAGAACTCCACAAAACAGCCAAATCACCAGATCGGTTATTGACTTCCTCTGCATTTGCTCACAAAACCCAATAAACCCTCAATTGGGTATTTCAAACAAATCACCAAATTACCATATTTATAGGTGTTGAATCAAGAAAACCTTACCAACATGGAAATAAGGTTAATGTGTACTATTCCTGTGTAGTACTAACCTGGGTTTGTAGTACAAATCGATTGGAGCATTATTGTAGTACACATTAATGAAGTCTAAATTTAGCACCTCTGTCTCACATCATTTTTATCGAACAGTTGGTGGGCAAGATTGCTCCTCCTTCAGATTGACTCCACTGTTTCTCTCTCTCTGAATATGGAAGGTGATGTAATTTTGTTTTTGTAGTGCAGTTGGATTTGAACCGTTGGGTTTTGCCTTTGTGGCGTGTGGTGTGAACATTGTGCGTTGAATTGAGGAAGAGAGGAGAGAGTTGGAGAGTCAATGCCCTGTTGGATTCTTGGAGATTAATGTTTAGATTGGAGATTATATACTGGGCCCCATATATTGTGTTTGTAATTTTTTTTTTTGGGGAAGAGGATATATTGCTTTTTTAGCAATTTGGATTAATTTTTTTATTTTTTATTTTTTATTTTTTATTTTTTTAATTATTTTAATTTGAAATTAAAAAGTTTTGTTTAGATTAGGTTTTTTCTTATTTTTTTATTTTTGTGAAAAAAAAAATGAAATATAATATTTTGTCTTGTAAAATTTTTAGCCCTTTTTTTTTTTTTTGTGACTATTTTAGCCCCCAATCTTATTTTAGCCTATGCCAAACAAGGGCATAATATATAATTGAATTGTATATCCTCCAAATGGGGTTTTTTTTTTTAAGATCCCTCATATTAAGATTTTATAGCGTAAAGGACATCTAATATTTTCATAATGTCTAAGGTCCCTCAAGTTGATCTAGAGAAAATTGGTCCAGAGAAAATTAGTCCAGAGAAATTCTGGACTTTCAAAGAATTTCTCTAGGTTCAACCCAAAGAAAATTCAAATTTCTCTAGGTTCAGTTTGACCAATATTCAAACCAGATAAAATTGATATATTCTGGACTTCCCAAGCCCAGAGAAAATTGACTTCACCAATTTTACTCAGTTAAAGGCAAAGAAAATTAAACAAATTTCTCTGCCCTCCCTGCCTCTCCTAGACTCAACTCTCCAGAGAAAATTTGAAATTTTCTCTAGTCTTCCCTTCTTTCCAGATAAATTTTCCTTCCCTGGCCTTCAGAGAAATTTCCTTCTCCAGATAAAATTTCTCTAGCCTTTCTAGCCTTCCCTTCTCTCCAGAGAAATTTTCCTTCTCCAAACCCAAAGAAATTCACTCAAACCAGATAAATTTCCCAAACCCAGAGAATTTGAATTTGAATTTGAATTTGAATTTGAACCCAGAAAAAATTGGTCAAAACGAACCCAAAGATATTTAAATTTTCTCTAGGTTGAACCCAAAGAAATTCTTTGAAAATTCTAGAATTTCTCTCCAATTTACAAACCATTTTCTTTGTACGTTGACTCAATCAGAAAAAATTGATTAAAAAGCTAACATAATTTTCTTTCGTTTGCTCACCCATACCTCTATTTTCACACCAACCCACCAACTAAATCTCCTTCTGAATAAAAGCATTGGCAGCATCAAAATCCTCATCCATCAAAAGATCCTAATGCCCATCTCACTTTGCCAGCACATCATATTTTCTTCATTGGGATCCTTGTCTTTGCTATTTATCATTGTCTTTCCAATTTGCAACATCTACGCTAACACCCATTGAACAACTTCGGCAACATTGTTCGTCATTGAATTGTTGTTCCCAACCTACTGCAATTAGTTTGACCCATCCTTGTTTGATTTGAATTCTTCTACCAGTTCATAATCTTTGCACCATCATCTCTGGTCTCCAACTTTGTGATCTTGATACTTATTATTTTCACCATCTGACGGTATCATTGCTTCTTGTTGTCATTGCCTCAAATCACTGGAGCAGTCAATTGCAATCATTGCCCTTCACAACATAATCCCTAACAAAGTTCTGAATCCCTCCCACTCCGATTCGCCGATCGTGACGAGGAACTTGGCGAGAGACTTTTTGAAGAAGGATTCGCTGGCGTAGTTGCCGCCTGGATCGCTGGAGACTGGGAGGAGGACGTTGGCGAAGGGATGGGATTTGGGGGTAGGGTAGACGAAGATCTTGAAGCTTTTGTTCATTTGGTTGTAAGGAAGCTTTTGTTCATTTGATGGTAAGGAAGAGAGAGAGAGAGAGAGAGAGAGAGAGAGAGCAGAGAGTGAGAAGAGAGACCAAACTTAGTTTTTGAAGAGATCGGGGGGAGAGAGAGAGAGAGAGATGGGAATTTCTCTGTGATATATGGGTGTGGGAGTTGAGGAACCTTAGACATTATAAAATAAAATTGTGAATCTCTTCCATTACTAAATATGGGAGAGGGACCTTAAACTAATTTTTTCCCTCAAAATGGGTGGATATACAATACGTACTCCCCCTATTATATCATATCACGTCAAGGATAAGAACCAAAAATACAATTTTACCCTTTTACAATGAAAAATCTGATTGTGTGTATATATGACCTTTACAATAAGAAATTTGATTGTGTATATTTGAAATCTGATTGTATATGACCAAAAAAATTATGTTAATGAATTTTATTTTAAAACTTTTACAATCAAATTTTTTACATAAACAAAATATATATATATATAATTATATAAGCAAAAATGTTATCGTCTTTTTGAGATTCAACATTTTAATTTAATTCTTTAAATTTTAAATATAAAAAAACATTTATAATCACACTAATTTAAAAACTTTTGAATTTTCAAAGTTTTAATTCAAAAAATATTTACCAAATAACTATGATATATATTTTATTTTTAAAAAAAATTGCCAATTAAACTATGATATTTTAAACAAATTTATATTATTATTTAATTTTTTATGATGTTATTACTTAATTGATTATTTTTTTTATTGAATATACATATATATGTTGGCAAATGATTGGATCTAACGGACATCTATATAATAAGGGAAGAAGGTTTTTGAAAATGTCTAAAATGTATGAGACACACATTTCATTTGGATGGCTCAGATGAATCCTAAGTGTATATCAATGGTTTAGATTTTCTTTGGATGGCTCACATTTCCCGCCCAACACATTTGCCTGTGTCTGCCTCATACCCTCTGTCTACCATCTGTCTTCCCATACCCTCTATCTACCTTCCCATTCCTACTTTGCACTGACTCTCCCCTCAGTATCTACCTTCCGTTTCCCTCTCTGTCTACCGTCTGTCTCCCCATTGTTGAATTCCTTGCTCTGTTTTTCTGTTTTTGGGTTTATCTTATTGTATTGGGTTTGGATTTTGAGTTATACGGTTTGGATTTTATATTGGGTGTGTGCAGATTTGGATTACACGGGTCTGTGCAGATTTGAATGATACATATTGAGTTATTTGAATGATATATTGAATTATTGAGTTATTTGGATGATATAGATGTATGGAAAAGAAATTCTTACTGCTGGGTTCAAAATAAATTCTGCAAATCAGAAATTCTATAGTTATTGAATTCAAATTCAAATTCTATAGTTATATGGAAAAGTATTTTTAACTGTTGGGTTCAATGGAAAAGAAAAGTATTTTTAATATGCAAATTCAAATTCAAATTCAAACATGACTTTAACCAATTCAGTATTATTATTTAGTGTTGAAAACATGACTTTAACCAATTCAGTATTATTACTTAGTGTTGAAAACATGACTTTAGTATTCTCTCATTTTTATCTTAATTGAAAACATGACTTTAGTATTCTCTCATTGATTCGGGTAATTGTTCTTCTTCTTGAATTTTTTTTTTCCTCTCTCAACTTTTGCCTTCATCAGAGCTTCTGTGGATCACTCTGACCACTCTCACCGTTGTTCACTCTAGCTGCGACATCACTTTGGCTGCTCGGCTATTCACTTCGGCTGCTCGATATCCTGCTCGACTGCTCAGTTAGTTTATTACTTTGGTTCTTATTGTTTTTTCTTTTGTTATTGCTTTGGTAACGTTTGGCTTTGCTATTGAGCAAACTGATATATACGGGTGAATTTTTTGATATTGAGCCAACTGATATATTGCTTTGGTATTAAGTAAAACTGAAGAAGAATTCTGCATATGATTTTGGCAAGAATTCTGCATATGAATTCTACAGAATTTTGGCTGATCAATCCACCATAAATACCAACGATGAATTTGAAATGGGTTTCAGTTTTAATTTTGAATTTGAAATGGGTTTGAATGATTTCGGTTTTGATTTTGAAATGGGTTTGTATGATTTCAGTTTTGATTTTGAAATAAGTTTTCGAATATCTGTATTTTGGTATTTATGTATTTCTACATATGTATGTTTCCAGGGCTTAATGAAATGGGTTTTAGGCTGTGTTTAGTTTCATGTGAAATAAGTTTGAAATAAATTTGAAATAAGTTTTGACATTCAAACTATTTGGTGTTGTATTTTGGGACAACAAAATGTTATACTTGCTAACTCAAAGAATCTAGTAATCATAAACATTTAGTGACACTTATGATTTTTTCACTTCCTTTAATTTTTCTTTTTTTGTTTTCAAATTAGAAGATACTTCCTGTTGGGGAATTTCAAATTTATAGTTTATTTTTGAGTGTTTTCAAAACCTTCAATGTTTTTCTTTGGATCACCAGCAGTTAAAAATACTTTTCCATATTGTGTGGGTGAAAATCTGACCACACTGCCCGTTTAGTGATCAGCTGGAGAGCACAGGCAGAATAGATGGCTTTAGCAACCTGTAACAGAAAGAAAAAGCTCCGGCGGTGGTTCTTCCACCCGGGGGCACTCCGACGATCAAGTCAGTATATCTCTCAAAGATAATCAAGTGCTAAACTGAATACTCAGAACATAAATTGCATACCTTAGACCCACGGGGGTGCCTCTCTTTTATAATATAATTAATCCAAGTCCTTCTTGAAGTATGACTTCTATGAACTTCATATCAATGTTTATTTTGGATTCTTTAAGAGATAAAGATAAACTCCCTAACAGCTTTATCCTTATCTTGGTTAAGTCCCCTCTTCGTTTTAGGACTCTTGTCCCTTATCTCGGATTCCGATATCTTCGGAGATAACCTCGGCTTCTCCGAGATTATCTCGGCTTAACTACCAGGACACGTGGCACCTCGGCTGACACGTCGGCGTCACCATGCCACGTGTTGGTATTCAGAAAATACATCCCCACACCTTGAATACAAAGAAGTGATGATGAAAGATCCCAACCTTGTAGTTGGAATGAAGTTTCCTAGTCCCCAAGTTTTCAGTGAGTATTTAAGGGAGTTCACTGATTAGCCAAGATTATCCACTTTCAGCCGATGTGTTCTCTTCGGAGAACAAGGCTTCGATCGTACTCTCCCACGCGCATGAGCTGTCATGCATATCTAAC